GGGGGGGGGGTCGGCTGGGGCCCCAAATAAAATGGAACCATCACTGAAATGACTCCATCCCTGGCGAACGATGACCCCTGCGGCGCCCGACTCGCCTCAGCCTGGTCAGCCCGTCACTGGGAGGGCCTTCGGCCGCAGACGGCGCGGCGCCGGCTGCGCGATACAGGCGCCGGCCCCGCCCGGCCCGTGGGTCGTATCGACGTAAACGTCCGGCCGGCGCCGGGGGTGGCGTGGCGTGGCGCCGGCGCTTGTATCACTTTTGTGTCACTTTCGTGGCGCCGTCCGAGTGGCCGCTTTGTGGTGCTTTGTGACGCTTTGCGAGCGCGCCGCACACGGCCCGCAGTCGTGACAGCTGCGCGATACAGATCGTGTCGCCGGACGTGGACGCGACGCCGAGTGGTCCCGGCCCGGGTCAGGCCCGTCAGGGCAGTGCCCGGCCGGGCCGTGCGGGATCACAATAGAGACATTGACGCCGGATTGCGGTACGGTTCGGCCCAACTTGCTCCCCTCTGGTGGTGTCGGATATGTCGGCCGAGCTGGCAGGTCCCTCAAAGGGCCTCTCCTACTCACACACTTGCTCGACCCCCGCCACGCCATGCCCCGCCACTTTCAGCACCCCCTGTGATGTTGCCCTCCCATAAAGTGCTCCGCTGCTGGACCCCCTGGGCGCATGCCATGGTCTCCCAATGGACACAAACCCTGCAGTCCTCTTTTTCTTTTGAAAAACAAAACGAACACCAGCGAAAACAACTAGTCTGAATAATAACTGAAGCACGGCGCTCTGGCACGCCGAGGCGAGAGAGCTTTGCGCGGGGCTCCGCCGGCGGGACGCGGCCAGGCCGACACGGCCCGCTGCTTAGTCTGTTTGCCCCCGGACTGCTGCTTCGGACGCTCGCGGCTTCTAGCAAACTGATGAAAAATTTATCGCCTCACCAAATGTAATGACAAAGGGAGAGAGGGTGGAGGGTGAGGTTGGAGCGCTCTCTGGCTCCCCCTCCTCTCCATCTCTCTCTCTCTCTCTCTCTTTCTTTGTTCCTCTCTCTCTCCCTCTCCCACCGCACCAGGGACCAGGCCTGCCGTGCCTGTGGGCTGCCGGGCTGTCCGCAACAGGCGGCAGGCTGCAATTGTTCCCATCACCTCCCCTCCCCTCCCCGTCCGCCACCGACCCTCGTCTGAATATTAAAACTGACAGAGCTTTGCCGCGTGTGCGCCGCTGCGCCGGCCTGGCGTGCCCGGCGTGCTCGATACCAACCCCGCTGAATTAGGTCCCCGGCCCGCCTCGCTGCCCCGCGCCTGTCAGTTTGTGGGCTGCAGCCCGATCCTCCAACTAAACGGCGGGCGCGGCGCTGCGGGCATCATGGCGCCAACGCATAGATGCGAGCGAGGAAGCGGCGAAGGGGGAGGGGGGGGGGCAAGTTTGCAGCGTTACCAACAAAACCGGAAACGTCTTGTGCAGAGTTGGCGCGGCGGGGGCGGTGGGTTGTGGCGGGCGCGGCCCGTGTAGTGTAGGGTGCATCCGCTGCAGTATCTGGTTCCGCCCCTACAGAGCGCCAGAGTCCCGGGGAGTGTCCCCGCCCGCGACGCCAGCGATAGCGCCTGGAGGGCCTGCAACCGCCCGCCATCGCTGGTATTGTCGAGGACGGGACGGGGCCTCGTTGGGGACGCGGAGGGAACGGAGCCCATTCTTCGACGGATTGCGTCTGGGCGAGGCGGAGCTGAGCTTGCACGCCATCGCAGCCGGGGGCCGGATGTACGCGAGCAACAGCGTGACACGGGACGGGGCGGCCGGCGTGCTGGTGCTTGCGGTGAGCTAGCTCCGCGAGCGCGAGCCTCCCTGGGAGCCCCGCCGGAGCCCCTCAGGGGAGACCCCCCCTGGGAGCTCCCGGCACCCGGAGGGAGCGGCCGTGCCAAGCAATGCTGGGGGTAATCTCTCCCGGCCGAGCAGAGAGTTCCAGCCCGGAGGCCAAGTCTGGAACGAGGTCTGCAGAGCAACGTACATAATTCATAGCTTCATTCTGCCACCTTCTTTCTGAGCGTGGACACTTGAGCGTCTTACTACCTCTCACACACACAGGGGGAGGAGGGAAGCCACTCAGTATGGCGCGAGAGCACACTAAAACGGCACACTTCCGCCCCTCCCTCCCACCTCCCCGCCAACTCCCTCCGATCCCCGGGGCCTATTCCACTCCCGGCCTCCACCATCATCATCAACATCATCCACTTCTTTTCATTCTTATCGCCGCACTACGCCACGCGGCGCCACGCCGAGGCAGCCGAGGCGCTCCCGCCAGCAGCTGCTTCAAGGTCCGCATCGCCACGGCGCGAGCCAGGTCGGCGTCGCGACGCAATAACCCAGCGGAGGCCGGCCGGCGCGAGGACGGCGCCGTGGTTAGCGCGGCGAGGGCGAGGAATCGAGCAAATGAATGAAGCCTCTACACGTCGCTGGAGGCGGAATGAAATTAAACTTTTGAGCGTGAGCAGACTTGCGGTGGAGGAGCCGGGCCGGGACTCGCTAAGGGGGAAGGAGAACTCTCTGCCCACATAATAAGCTGCTCCGCTCTGCTTGCTTGGGAGAAACTGTGGGACTGGAGGCCAAGTCTGCGCCGGGGCCGCGGCCGGCCGGAGTCTGAGGACCAGTGAGTGGCCGCCTACCTCCCCCACCCCCCACTACCCCTTTCCTGTACCCGCCCCTCTCGCCCTCTTACCTGCCCTCTTGAGCCCTCCTCCCTCCAGTGTCAGTGTACTTCACTCCTTTCTCTTCAATCCGACCAAGTCCGCCAAGTCGGAACCGCTCGCTGAGGCTGTCGCGCGGACGGACGCCGCAAGAAACCGGGAAACGAATCGCGTCCAGCTAAACATAACCCTACTTACGAATATAGTTCGGGATTGTAGTGAAGGAGTGTGTCCGAATTCTCCAATGTGTCGACCGGTGTGGACACAAGTTGTGTCGAGGAGTGGAGCGGAGTAGTGTCGAGTGAGCCGTGATTGGTCGGATTGGCCGCTCACGCTACT